GCAGGTAGAGGTAAATTTTTGGGGCCGGAGCTGGTCGTATCTTGAAAAATTCATAAGGAGGGGCGTTCGTAACTAGAGGTACCACTGTATAATACTATATTATATATTTTTTAAATATTTTGATAACTGTATTTGAGCATAATTGGTTTCCTCTGTAATACAATCTACTTATGTATTTTATTTTATATATTTCAATACATTTTTCTGAAAAGGAATCTGTAGGTTTCACCAGACTCTCAAAGGGTGCATGGCCCAAAAAGGTTTAAGAATCCCTGCTACAGAGGGTTAATAGACAGCTAATGACTCTCATATATTGAACTGTGAGTACGCTGCTTAAACCAAGGGATAAATATAACACCTGGCCATATGTAATAGCTTCATACAAATTGATGGTGCAACTGCATTTCAAATATGCATATAAGTTACCCCAAGTTACTGCCAATTTTAACATCTACCCTTGGATTATATTTATTTTCTATTTATTTAGGATTATTTTATATTGTAATTTTAATTGATTTTAACTGCTTTGTAAACTTCCCAGAGTCATTTTTTTAATGAGATTGGCAGTGACAAATTTCATACATACATACATACATACATACATACATACATACATACATAGTTCTAAATAACGTACATTTTAGTCTGTAAAAAGCAATATTTTGACCTTAAATAGTTTCCCCACAACCTTAACAGGATAGTCATTGTTCCTGAAGTTGCTGTATGAAATAAAGTTGCTTGACTACCAAAACCCTAGAAAAATTGGGGCGCCCCCCCAACTCCCAACATTCTCAGCAACAGCTGCGCTGGTTGGGGAATTCTGAGGGTTGAAGTCAAAGCTTTTGAAGAGCACCTAGATTGGGAAAAGCTACTTTTAAAAAATGTAGTTAGGATGAAGCCTCATTTTACAATGCAGAGATGCATAACGTAACTGGATAAAAAAATATTATCATCAGATAATGTACAAAAATAGTTGGGAGATACTTAATCACTTTACCTCACACCTAAGCATTTTTTCCTGAATCCCAGTTTTACAATTCCAGTTACAATTTGTTCTTCTCTGCCAGGATTTCAGGCCTTGTTTACATCCAGAACAATAACTCTGGAACTAACTTAGGGGAAAAATAACTGGGAGATAGTTTTGGCAGAGGAAAAAAAGCCTGGGAGAATTAAGTATGCCCTTCATCCTGCTACTGCAAAGTGCCACTTGCTGAGAAATATGATCAGGCAAAACGTATACATTATATTGTACTATGTAGCTTGGCTTTTAATGAGAAGCAAAACCCCACTACGTCCTTCAATGATTGCCTCCATTTTATGAATGCTTTCCCCTTTTTAATTTAAATGGTTAAAATGAACTTATGGGACACTTTCAAGTGATGGTTTGAAAAACCCGCTAGGTAATGCAGGTTATCAGTGAAAGCCCTTACCATCCTTGATGGGAATTGTTGAGCTGTAAGAGGAGAAGTTTGGGCTTGGAGAGTTGCAGGAGGTGCCAAACTGTGAGTAGGTAGAACAGAAGGCTGATTCTGGATTAATGGTAAAACACTGGGGTGAGCCACATTTGTTGGCAACGGCGGCTGCACCTGTATGAAGAATAATTAACAGACTTCACTAAGAAAAACAAAACAATTGTCTGTGCTTCAGCTCCCCTGGTCTCATCTGCCCTGTTTGTAGCCTTCTCTCACATGTTCTCTAGGGAAAACATGACATCTTCCTAGGACACATTCCTGATAACAAAGAATTAATGTTCTTGTATCTTATCTTTCTTTCGCTCTTTCTTTCTTTCAAATATTTATATAGCCACCCATCTTGTACCAAACTCCAGGTGGCTCACAACCAATAGATAAAAAACAATATTTACAATAAATATTAAAATCACAAATATTAAAACAAATAAACAAACAAACAACCTGGCACGATAGCTAAACTTTCACATGCAGCCCACAACAAGCTCATCTCCCCAATCTCACCCTATCCCAGCGCTTAGGTGGACAAGCCAGGTCTTAAGTGCTTTTTGGAAGGTTAAAGGGTGGGGGGGGTCTGCCGAATTTCTGGGGAACAGTGTTCCATAGGGCAGGGGCTGCCACAGAAAAGGCATGCTTCCTAGGTTCCATAAGATGGCAACATTTAAGGAAGGGGACTAGGAGTGTGCCCACCTTATTTGATCTGGTAGGATGGGCAGGTGTACTTAGGGAGAGGTGGTCCTGCAGATAACCTGGTCCCATGCCATATAGGGCTTTTAAGATAATAACCAGCACCTTGAATTGCACCCAGAAGGAAACTGGGAGCCAATGTAACTCGTGCAACAGGAATGCAATGTGGGTAAACCTAGGGGCACCCACCACTGCGTGTGCCACTGCATTCTGGACCAGTTGTAACTTCTGGGTGTCTTCAAGGGCAGCCCCATGTAAAGCTCGTTGCAGTAATCCAAATGGGAAGCGACCATGAGTAAGGCCTCCCAGTCCAAGAAAGGGTGCAATTGACGCACAAGATGAATCTGTGCAAAGGCCCCCTAGCCACAGCTGCCACCTTTATTCCTTTCCTGGGACCAACAAATTTTATACTGAAACATCATACACGTCTTTGTGGGACAGACACTACCTTAATTACTATGCTATTAAGAAAATGATAGGCCTCTTACCCCTGCATTGGACTGATAATGCCCCACCAGCTGCTGGGAAGTGTAAATGTGCCCTTGAACACTGCTGTTTTCAGTTTGTGAGAGGTTGGGGACTTGTTGGGTGCCCATCATCTGTTCCGAGGAAAATGCCAGACTATGTTGGCTAGAGGCATCTGACAGTATAACTGATCCTGCTCCTCTCTCAGACAGGCTGTCAGCTGCATCAGTGTGGGAAGAAAGAGAAGGCAGAATATTCATTCTATAAGAACAAATCAAAACCATTTCCCTTCCTTCTGCCTCATCCAGGCAAACACTTGGGTATTCGGGATAACATGGGCTATCAAGAAATGCAGTTTATATATGGATGAAATATTTATTTCAGAAAGAACACAACAAAATGTGTGCTTGCAGAGGGCAACAAGGAATGGCGCAATCTTTCCTTAAAAATTGCCACAACATTGCTTCTAGCTGACACGACTAATCTGTTTAAATGAGTATCAAAAACTGTGTTACATTTATTTGAGAGTGACCAAAGGGAAGTCAAGCCCAGCACAAATCTGAGACATGTTATTCACAAAGTACTGTGTAAACTACTCATAATGGTGATCAGATGGTATGAGAACACTGGCCATAGCTATTGGTGGTTGGACCATCAGAGTTCTCTTGGATTATCCATCCATGGATGTAATCATGGGGGAAATAAATTACTTTTTCAACTCCCTAATTTCTGTGACACAGGCCCTATGAAGATGCATACATTTTGTCCGGTTGGATTCACCTTTGAATCTGCAACTTTCTGCCCTCACATTTTGTAGCATGCAATTGCTCTATGAACCATGGAGCATTCAAGGCACTAACACAGGACAGGGGGAACTTAGGAGTCATCATTATCATATTAAGTGCTCTTATTCTATAATAAAACTAGACTCTTTGATTCTAACCCTCT